GTGGCGGTCGTGGTTCACCTCGGCCCGACCCCCCTCCTCCCAACGCTTGGACATCACCACCACCGTGGGCCTATTGGATGCCGCCGTCGCCTTGGGCCATGCCGCCTTGTCCCTATCCATCCACTCCTTGGTCTGGCCCCTCATCACCTCGCCCTACTCCTGGAGCAGGAATTCTCGGTGCTCGCCCCAACCAGGCACATATTTCGGGACCAGCCCCTGCACTCACCGATGTCAGCACCGCCATGCATACCATGACGCTCACACCACCGGATGATAATTGGTATATGGACACCGGGGCAACGTCACACATGACTTCAAATTCGGGTACTCTCTCATCTCTTTCTAATTTAGGTACTAAACAATTCATTATGGTTGGCAATGGTAATACCATACCCATTTCGGGTCTTGGACAAACCACCCTCTCCCCCCCTCATCCCCCACTACAACTCCAAAATGTTCTCCATGCCCCGTCCCTCATAAAAAATCTTATTTCCGTTCGCCGTTTTTCTACTGATAATTCTGTGTCTGTTGAATTTGACCCGGTTGGTTTTTCTGTGAAGGATCTCCGCACGGGCACAGTTCTAATGAGGTGTAACAGCTCGGGTGATCTGTATCCCATTCAGCCTCACATATCCAGACTACCACACTCGGCTCTTCTCACCACCTCCGCTACTACTTGGCACCACCGGCTGGGTCATCCCGGCGATCCCGTTTTTAGCTTTCTTAGAACAAATAAAACTATTCCTTGTTCTTCTCTAAATAAATCTTTATGTACTTCTTGTGAACTTGGCAAACATACAAAATTGCCATTTTCAATTTCTCAGTCTGTTACTTATTATCCATTTGAAATAATACACAGTGATTTATGGACATCCCCTGTTCTTAGTTCTACTGGTCATCGGTATTATTTAATATTTGTTGATGATTATACCAAATATGTTTGGATATTTCCTTTAACCTCTAAAGCACAAACCTTTCCCATTTTTGTTAATTTTCATGTTTATGTTCGTACCCAATTTGAACGTAACATTAAAACTTTTCAATGTGACAACGGGAAAGAATTTGATAATGCTGCATTTCGTACATATGGACAAAAACATGGCTTACACTTTCGTTTTTCTTGTCCCTATACTTCTCCTCAAAATGGCTCGGCTGAACGGTATATCCGCACTCTAAATAATATTGCACGGACTATATTACTTCATGCCGCTGTCCCCGCCAATCTCTGGCCTCACGCCATCCATATGGCCGCCTATCTTCATAATATCCTCCCTAGCAAACCTCTCCACTACCTATCACCCACTCACCTCCTTTATCATAAAATACCAACATATGACCATCTTAGAGTTTTCGGTTGCTTGTGTTTTCCACACCACCCTTCTGTTCATATTAACAAGCTTGAAGCCCGTTCTACCCCGTGTGTCTTTCTTGGCTACCCTCTCAACCACAAAGGTTATAAATGTCTTGATCTTCGCACGAATCGAATAATCATCTCTCGTCATGTAACATTTGACGAAAACATTCTTCCATTCAAAAATACCACATCCTCCCCCACATATAATTTTCTGGATGACCCCAACCCCATGCTCCGTCTTCTGCCTATTTTATCCGGATCACATTTCCCAAATCCCCATTCGGTGCACACCGACCTCTCTACCCACCAAAACTCTCCACCTCATCCAAATAGCCTGACACCTTCTGCCACTCCTACACATACGGCCAGCCCATTAAATCCATCCCCACCCCACCCAAATATTATCCTACCACCTCCTAATATCCCACCTCCAGCCCCCTCACGTCCTATGCATGCACCATGCAAACCCCCAGCTTCTCATCCCATGCAAACGAGAAGCCATTCTGGGATTCACAAACCCAGACAACTATTTAATTTATTCATCTCCTCCACACCGTCTCCTCTTCCCCGTTCTCCTATTCTTGCCCTTCAAGACCCTAATTGGAAAGCCGCTATGGATGATGAGTTTAGTGCTTTAATTAAGAATGAGACTTGGGAGCTAGTTCCCCGCCCACCTAATGCCAATATTATTCGTTGTATGTGGTTATTTAAACATAAATACAGGTCTGACGGTGTATTGGAACGTCACAAAGCTCGGCTCGTGGTCAATGGTAAATCTCAACAGGTCGGCATCGATTGTGATGAAACTTTCAGCCCGGTTGTTAAACCGGCTACTATTCGTCTTGTACTCAGCATTGCTCTCTCCCAATCTTGGCCCCTTCATCAGCTCGACGTCAAAAATGCTTTTTTACATGGTCAGTTAGAGGAGACTGTGTATATGCATCAACCACCGGGCTACCGTGACCGCTCTCGCCCTCATCATGTTTGCCGCCTTTTGAAATCTTTATACGGCCTCAAACAAGCTCCTCGAGCTTGGTATCACCGTTTTGCTTCTTACCTTGCCAAGATTGGATTCACTCACAGTACATGCGATCACTCTCTCTTCATATATCATCAAGGTCGTCAAACTGCATACCTCCTCCTTTACGTGGACGATATTATTCTTACCGCTTCCACAGATCACTTCCGTCAATCCATTATTTCTCAACTGGCTGCCGAGTTTTCTATGACGGATCTTGGACCTTTGACATACTTCTTGGGCATTTCAGTCACCCGCCATTCCTCCGGATTATTCCTCTCACAGTCCACTTATGCCCGCGACATTTTGCACCGTGCCGGTATGGCGGATTGCAAGCCCGTCAGCACTCCCGTTGATACACAATCCAAGCTCAGTGCGTCTGATGGGCCCTCAGTTGAGAATCCTACACTTTATCGCAGTCTCGCCGGCGCACTACAATACCTTACTTTCACCCGGCCTGACATATCCTACGCGGTTCAACAGCTCTGCCTCTTCATGCATGATCCCCGGGAGCCCCACTTTCATGCACTCAAACGGGTACTACGCTATATTCAGGGCACTGCCCGTTTTGGCCTTCATCTCGCTTCGTCTCCTCTCACGGACCTAGTATCCTACACTGATGCTGACTGGGGCGGGTGTCCCGACACTCGACGATCTACTTCAGGTTATTGTGTTTTTTTAGGGGATAATCTTATTTCTTGGTCCTCCAAGCGACAGCCTACATTGTCCCGTTCTAGCGCCGAAGCCGAATATCGCGGTGTTGCCAATGTCGTGGCTGAAACATGTTGGATTCGCAATTTATTAATTGAGTTACGTTGCCCTCTTACCAAAGCTACTCTTGTCTATTGTGACAATATTAGTTCTGTATATATGACTGGCAATCCGGTTCAACACCAGCGCACCAAACATATAGAAATGGATATTCATTTTGTCCGGGAAAAAGTTGCTCGGGGAGAGGCTCGTGTTCTTCATATTCCGTCTCGCCAACAATTTGCTGATATTTTTACCAAAGGTTTACCTCGAATATTATTTGATGACTTCAGGTCCAGTCTCAACGTTCGTACTCCTCCCGTTTTGACTGCGGGGGCGTGTTAGCCGATATTATCCCACGGCCAATGCACATAATTGTTCTCATAATTATCCAATACAATTTGTGGTACATAATATAGGTCGTACATATCCATTAGGCTGCTGCCAATTATTTAGCCACGTATGGCTCCAACTAACTATGTATCTAGACTACTTTTGATAAATAGTTTTACGTAGATAGCTTTTGTATACATAGTAGGACTCTTGTACGTACAGCTTATTAATAGGCATATTCAATAACATTGATCACCACGGTGAATCTCACATTCCAACTAGTTTAACAAAACTAAATAATATTTAAAAAATTTAAAAATTAAAAATAATAATTAAATCTACAGGTCCTAGATTAAGAGTTTTCAATCATTTAGGTCCTAAATTGATTGCTTTTCATCATTCGATATATCGATACATTTCATCTTTCTGGTCCCAAATTGATAATTTGTCCATCTTTCAGGTCTTGAATTGAAAAAATTTCTTTAAAAATAAACCCCTTGGTTAGATTCTTATGAGAATCAGTTGGATTAAAATGTTCAATTTATTTTTATGTACTTCTAACGTATTATAATGTTTACTTCATTAAAGATTTTTTGAATCTTAATTAGCCACAGGTGCCACCGGCCACCCAAGTGATTATAGTATAGGAAATTCACATTTTTTTTATGTTTATAAATAAATTGCTTAAAGTAAGAGCAAAACATGGACAAACTTTTTAAAATAAAATTAAATATGTTTTCTTTTCGAAATATGATTTATTTAGTAGAATAAATTAATAAAATTCCTCGAAATATGAGTGAATAAGTTATATTTTTAGAAGAAAATACTGACACTCATATTCGAAAAATTATGATCGATATCTTTTACTCTGTTTAGAGTATTTTTTAACTTATATTTTCTCATGTATATGCATTTAAAATCGTATTATATTATCATAATATCTTGTAAAATATATACATGGAGTAACTTTAAAAAAAAAGAATAAAAATCGAGGACTCCATATGAACTCAATACGGAGTATTGTGTAAGAAGTTTGTATGTAGTAGCTAGAGTACCTAAAATTTTGCTGTTCAATTAAAGTCCAACAAACAAATGAATGGGTGATTGCTACAAAAAAGCAATTGTGTTGACTGTGCCTATTTTTTTGGCTAAAGAGTTACCTAGTTTTTTCACTCCAAACCAATGGTGATGCACAATGGTAGGAAGTTAATAGCCGTGAATTAATAAATAGTTTTAGTAGTAGTGATAAATAAGTTTGTATTATCCAATCAAAAAGTGACACATCATTATTTCTTAACTCAACTTTATTATATAAAACTATAGATTTGGCACGGATTGGGCAAGTTTGGCACGGACGGTAACTTATTTTTGGCACAGCGCCGTGCCAAATAGCGCAACTGGTGACAAAACGACTTTGGCACGGAATTTGGCACGGATTTAACGCATCCGTGCCAAATCCGTGCCAAATACCCTATGAATTTTGGCAAATCCGTGCCAAAGCTCCGTGCCAAATCCGTGCCAAAATTGTTGTGTTTTTGTAGTGAAGGATTCCCTTTTAACCGAATAAGTATTGTATTATGTGAGGACATAAATTAATTTAACTAAAATTTAAGGAAGGGACATGTATATATCTAATTAAAGTAACATAATTTTATGAAAATATTACATATATAGATTATAATACGGAGTCGATCTCCTAAATCCGTCCTTATTGATCAGGCGGCTTAGATGGGGTGAACAAAGCCGCGTAAAACTTGAGGCGATCTCCTCGTGCTTCTTTTTCTTCTTCAAACGATGGAGTTGACGGCCTCCTCGGCAGTCGGCATCACAAAGGGAAGCGACGCCGTGAATGGCTGGTGACGTTTGTAGCGGCGCCACGCCAACTGGATAGCGACGACCGCCCAACTTCTCCAACCCGGAGAGTAATATCTTGCGCTTCTCTTCACCCTCTCCTTTGCAAACGTGTACCGAAAATGTTGGGTCACGTACTTGAGGTCGTGGGCGTCCAGGCCCAAGGCCTCAGTGGTTTCGAGGGTGACAAGCGTGAATGAGGACGGTGGCAGCACGTTAACGAAGGGGCGGCGGAGGCACCAGGACAGCAGCTCGTCGCCGCTAAAGTTTCCGGGTCCTAGCATGCAGCTCCTGCCGATGCTATGCTGGCGGCATTCAAGGTGGCCTCTCACTATGAACAACATTTTCCTCACTGGCTCACCCTCCCAAGTTATCTGACATTCATACATACATAGTACATAAGAACAAATTTGTTCACCCTCTCAAAAGAGGGTGATGTTCACCCCACCCTAGTTTCATGCCATGTGGCATGACAACTCTTTAATACGAAGTATTTGACAATTGTTTAAACTTTTTTTTTATCTTTAATCCATTTTTTAAAATACATCAAAAATTTTAATTTTTTATACTCTTTCATATGGTACCAATATTATATGTGTAAAATATTTAAAAAAATCCAGTTATAACTACGTATTTAATAAAATGGACTTTTTTATATGCAAGATTGATGCCGTTGGAAAGATCATAAAAAACTAAAAAATCTGATATTTTTTTAATAAAACTTTACCATTAAAAAAGTTATAACAGTTTTAAGAAAAAAATGAATAGATATGCCACATGGTAAGCATTGAAGTAAGGGGCTAATGTTCACCCTCCTGTGAACATAATAGGACTCTACATACATACTTCATCATTACTTTTCAATTCTATATTTCATCAATTCCAACTAGTTAGTGATCTACATACTATACGTTGGTATGTTACTTTGACTCACCGTTTCTCCCGCTGTAAATATGAGGGACTTCAAACGATCGCATATGTTGCCCATGACCAAATTATCCAAATGCCGAAACAAAGGTACCTGAAATATAATTTCAACCCACCATCATATATAGAGATATGTAGTACAAAGTATTACATACAGAGTATAATTTAAATACCATCGAGAAATTTCACATTGTTTTAAAGGAGCCCATTATTTTCTATCTAAAATATTACTCATTCACTCATTGACACAAGGGACACGTATGCATGGCTACAATTTTAATTTTAAATTTGTTTTAAGTTTTAAAATTGGTATTAGTAGAGTAGTCGTCATTTCACTCCGATTAGTCGTCATTTCTTGGTAGGTAGTTAAGAAGTGGTCTCCTATTATATTTGCATTTGTCCTTTGCATATTTGCACGCATTTGTTCTAATTAATGAAATAGAGTTGTTTTCATTCATATACACTAGGTATTAAACACTCCGATTGAATGCCAAAGTGGCATTATTTCTCCTATCTCCATTTTTAGTTTAGTTAAATTTCTAAACAGTTTGACAACAATTGTTTGAGAAAATTCAATTATTTTATCCGATCGGGTATGTGACAAATCTTCACGAAAATTTGCTCCCACTATCATTTGTTTCCGGATTTGATTTGGACAATCGAATCAAGCAAATACCCGATCGGGTATTGCCTATACCCGACCGGGTACATGAGTAACACTTTTCTTGATCTTTTAAGGTCCAATCTTGTTCCCTTGGATGATTTTTGACCTATTTAGCTCAAAATAGTCCTAATCTAAACAAATTACAAATTATTATGAAAATAAAGTATTACACCAAAAGTGTGTAATTTCCACAACTAGAACTAATAAAAACTAGTTAAAAATACAAACATACATAATTGGAAATTCATACCATCAAACTCCCTCACACTTAGTTTCTTTACTCGTCCTCGAGTACAATCAAAAGTTGACAAGTTCCAAGTCCTCAATAGTTCAATAGTCAACAAGAAAGAGCAAAAGACCACCAAGGATAAAACATGTTAATTTTTACATTGAGTTTTAAGCTCAATAAAAAAATAACATCTTCTAGGGTTTCATGGCTTTCTATGCTCATTTTTTTCTTCACTTCTTTTATTCTTCTTTTCCGTCAAGAGATTAAATGATGTTCTGCAAAAACAAATATATCTCTCATATCTATCATTTTGCCTAGGAGATTTTTCAGATTTTCATCCTAGCATCTCTTTTTGTTTTTCCATTCTTTCCAACTCACTCATTTTTTTTATAAGCCCTTTTTGCTTAGATTGCCCATTTTTGGGTTTTCAACCTAACTAGCATCTCTCTTCTTTTATTTAACTTTTTTGTGAAGAAAATAATGCAAGTTACAAGGTAGAAAAATTAATTGCGTACCAATGAGTGACTCTCCCTCACTTAGCTCATGGCACTGTCCATAGTGCTCGTTATCGCCATCACTTTTTTTTTGGTTTTTTGAAGATATAAAGTTGTGGTTTGGGAGAGGGGTGAGTGTAAGAGTTTATGGATTAGAGGGTATGTGGAGCAAGAGGAAAGTGATGAGAACAAGATTATGCTTGTTTTGTGTGTGGGGTTTGGTGGATGATTTGAATAGATTTTTAAAGAAAGAAGGATATGGTTATGAGGGTTAGGGTGATTGGGGTGGAGTTGGATGGTGGTTTGAAAGATTAAAGATGAAAAGAGGTGAAAAGGAGGTTGTGTAGGGGAAAGATAAAGGAAAACAAATAAACACACAATGATGTACCTCGCTTGGGTTGCCTCCCAAAAAGCGCCTTATTAAACGTTGTGACGCGACACCATCTTTTTTAATTTCAGTCGTTTAGGCTTGGATCATGATGATTCCTCTTCTTCACATTTTCAGCCCTAGGGCTTTCATAGAAATGCTCAATTTTTTTACCCTTCAATTTGAAAATTTTTCGAGGATCAAATATCCAGATTTTCATTGCTTCATATTGTGAGAGTGAGGGAAAAAATTGTCTTTTAACATGGTCAATGGAAAGGGTTTCGATCCTTCACTTTTGCTGAAGATTTTATTGCCCTTTTTAATTTTATGAGTTTCCCTCAAAACTTTCAGAAATGGTGGGGTACCTCAAAGGACGACAAAGATAGAAATTTGACTTTGAAGCTCGGCTCATCCCTTTCTTTGACCAGTTGGAGATCCATGACTTTTTCTTCTTCTTCTGGATTTTGAATCTCCTTTTGCAACTCCTTCCCAAATGTGATTGCAAATGCTTGTTGTTTATGATCATGTTCTATTTGAGAGGGAAATTTCTCAAAATATTTCGCTTTCAATGGACTCACAACACTTGACTCTTCAAGTTTTGTTCGTTGGATCTTGTTTCTTGCGTGAATTGTGCCATATCTCGGTGCATACTTGTCACGTTGACAGTGAGAGCTCGGATAATGTCTTCAGTGGACATGCTAGAATACAAACTCGAGTATGGGTAACCTATCCTTCCTGGATTAATTATATGTGTTGGAGAATGATTCATATCTCCTTTGAGGTATTTTCCTTTGAAAACCAACATCATCATTTTGTTCAAAATATTCTTCTTGGAGTTTTGGGCAAAAATCCGTAAGATGCCTGTGAGACATGCAAATGTTGCATGTCTAGGCATTTTGAGATTTTGAACATGAAATAAACTCATTTATTAGAGAAGTCAAGTTGGAAATTTGACTCTCTATGGATGATGTGTTGGTATCCATATACTCATGTAAGCTCAAAAAATAGAAAAGTAAGAGTTCTTTATACTTTTTTTTTAATTATTTTTTTTTAAATAAAAAGAAAATTGATTGTCTTTCCCCGGCAACGGCGCCAAATTTGACGTGCACTTTGTCGTGATGTGCGTCAAAATAATAAATCAATACAACAATTATACGTAGTATAATGAAGTAAGGTTTGTATCCACAGGGAAATGAATACTTCTCTTTTTATGTAACTAGTAACAAGGGGGATTTTAAAGTTTGATTTGATTTAATTAATTAAATACGAAGATGAACGACTTATATGAGTTTAATTAATAGAGATGAGAACTAGGTTTTGCTTTTATCCACTTCATGAAATGTTCGTCGATCCCGGTTATATCTTTAACTATCTTCCTCTTGAACACTCAATCGAGGAGTATCTCCATTTCATCGAGGGTAGTTATTAATAATGAGACGCGTAACGCGTTCATTAATAAAACTTACTACCGAGTCAATATAGAACATGCGCGGTATATTAACCCGATAATAGCAATAAACTTAAGATGAAAACGATTGAGATTGATAACCTCAACACAAGCGGTTTATTGGTTTAATCAATATAGTTAATAGTTAATTCCCCTTAGATTATTAACCATGAGACGCATGCGTTAATAATCCAAGTTTACTACCGCGAAAAGACCGAATGATTAACAAGCGTATTCGTCGATCGATTCTAGTAATAATTAATATATGAAACAAAACTAGTTGATCCTTTAAGTAAAGCTCAAAATATTAATATGAAATATGAATATGAATTAATTAATATTCAAGGAAGAATATTAAAGAAGATAAATCCTACTATAACTAATGTCAAGATGTTAACTAATTGTCATCTTAGCAACACTCCCCAACATTAATATAGAGGAAGAAAATAAATATTACTATAACTAATGTCGAGATGTTAACTAATTGTCATCGTAGCAACACTCCCCAACATTAATATAGAGATAGTATATTAAGGAAAAAATTAATATTCAAGGAAGAAGATTAAAGAAAATAACTCACAACTTACAATCCATTAAGCTTCAAAGTAGCAAAACCAAGATGGAAGACTTTAGTTCCTCATTTGGAGACTAAACATGATAGAAAATATAAAGAAAATACTAAACTAAACTGAGCTAAAGAGTATATGTGAATTGGTGATTTTATTGAGAAGGAAAGGGGTGTATTTATAGGCTTTTGGGAACTGCAGGGTCTGATACCCGACCGGGTATATAGGATACCCAACCGGGTATCTTAGGAAATTTTCTGGGCATACCCGATCGGGTATGTGACAAATCTTCACGAAAATTTGCTCCCACGATCATTTGTTCTCGGATTTGATTTGGACAATCGAATCAAGCAAATACCTGATCGAGTATTTCTTATACCCGACTGGGTACATGACTAATTTTTTCAAATCGAAATCTTTCTTGCCTCCTTGCACTTTCCTTGATCTTTTAAGGTCCAATCTCGTTCCCTTGGATGATTTTTGACCTGTTTAGCTCAGAATAGTCCTAATCTAAACAAATTACAAATAATTATGAAAATGAAGTATTACACCAAAAGTGTGTAATTTCCACAACTAGAACTAATAAAAACTAGTTAAAAATACAAACATACATAATTGGAAATTCACACCATCGGTCTGTCTGTGGAAAAGCACTTTGCTAGTCGCACAAAATTTGAACACTCCCAAATGAATGTGAATAACGAAAAATCAACGATCGGATCTTACGAAAACTAGATCTAAAACATAAGTGAAGCTTTGAAGTTTAGACTGAAATCTCAAGAGTATTTCGGGAGGGATTTCATACTATGCTTTGGGTTGGGTATTACTTATTTGTTCGTTTATATTTGCTTTTGTTTCTTCCTTTTCTTTTTTCTATTTTCCATGTTCTTTACTTTGTTGTTTCTAATAAAATTCCTCCTCCTCATTAGTGTATATATAATGCGTGAAAATCATTCCCATTTTTCACATTAAGACTTCAAACAAAAAGAAGTCTTCATTTGAAAATTGAAAATGACTTTTGTTATTATGGCCCGGATGCGATTGCATCGCCGTTTTGGATGTGAATTAAAAAAATATTCTAATTGTTGTGTGATGTAGCTGAGCTGCGCAAATCTAATATTGATGTCACAACATTGTTGCAAAGTCCGTATTAAACCATGCATACACCTATGTCTGTATGTACATACCTGCCTAATCAAGTTAGAGCAAAGATGATATTTGATGTCTCTCCTAAGTCCTTGGGGAATATCTTGTAACATTTCCCACTCATCTTCCATGCCTCCCATCGCTGCCCAGCGTTGCCACTTGTAGTTTCTCACCCTTTGTATTATCTTGGGTGGCAACCGTCTTTTCTTCATCCACCACTCTATGTTTCTCATCTTCAAGTGCACTGCTTGCTTCTTTGACGTCATTGAACGAAAAAACACCTGCATATGCACATTAATTAAGTATTTTCATATCTCCAAAGAGACCAACCATTATTAAGTAGATTCTGTAGGTTTTATTACAGAAACTATTGAGGAGAATTTAGAGCAAAGGAACAATTGAACACAACAATCTGTGATTAAATGAAAGAGTAGAAACTAGCTACAGAGTACATAATTGGGTAATTCAAATGAAAATGCTACTGCACTCCTATTTATAAGAAAGACTAAGAACTACCAACTCCTAGAACTACTCCACGTGCCTAGCTTCTAGGAAATAGAATAACAGAAAACAAATTGTAATATGTGTATGGCATATTCCATACACACGTACCCACTTAGGACTATAATTCCGGTAGTGCAGGTGGAACAAGTCAACACGCTTAAACTAACATTCTCCCCCTTAAGCGTGACTTTGCTCTAGATTATAAACTCCAAGTAATTCCCGCAGTTCTTCAAATTTAACCTTTGCTAATGCTTTGGTAAGGATATCAGCACGCTGCTCCTTGGTAGAAATAAACTCGACAATGATATGCCGCTTTTCAACACACTCACGGATGAAATGAAAACGAGTATCGATGTGCTTGCTGCGTTTGTGGAAGACCGGGTTCTTCATTAATGCAATTGCTGACCTGTTGTCAACATAAAGAGTCACAGGATTTAGCTTGCTTCCAGTTACCTCACTTAGCAAGCTCCTCAGCCACAAAGCTTGACATGCCGCTGCACTTGCTGCCATGTATTCAGCTTCACACGAAGATAAGGCCACCGTTTGCTGCTTCTGCGATTGCCAAGTAATCAGATTCTTATTAAGATAGAACACCATTCCTTCAGTGCTTTTTCTGTCATCTATATCTCCGGCTAAATCACTATCTGTGAAACCAATCAGCTTCTCAGTTCCGCTTCCTCTTTCGTATCGTATCCCGTAGCTAATTGTTCCCTTCACATAACGAAGGATGCGCTTGGCTGCCACATAATGCATTGTAGTAGGTTTTTCCATATACCTACTCACCATTCCAACTGCATGTGAAATGTCTGGACGGGTATGAGTCAGATACCTTAGTCTCCCAATGATTCGCCTATACTCAGTAGGATCCACTAGGACTCCCTCAGCATTCTTTCCGAGTTGCAACTTTGTTTCCATAGGATATTTGCTTGGGTTGCAATCTGCCATCCCAAACTGTTGCAGAAGGTTCTTTGCATACAACGATTGCTTCAGAGAAATGCAGCGACTTTCCTGGATTACCTCAATACCGAGATAATATGAGAGTAAACCAAGGTCACTCATTTCAAACTCTCGCATCATTTGATTCTTAAACAGCTTTATGCCATCCACAGTTGATCCAGTCACGATTAGATCATCTACATATACGCCAATAAGGATTATGTTTTCTCCACGCCTTTTTATGTACACCGCTTGTTCTTGAGAACACTTTAAGAACCCGAGACTCTTCAAACTTCTGTCAAGGCGCATATTCCACGCCCTCGGTGCTTGACGTAGCCCATAGAGAGCCTTGGACAGTTTGTAAACTTTCTGCTCTTCGGTTTGGACGATGAAACCTTCTGGCTGCGAAACGTAAACCTCTTCTTGGAGATCACCATTAAGAAATGCTGATTTGACGTCCAAATGGTGAATTTCCCATCCGCGATGAGCAGCTAGGGCTATGAGCATCCGCACCGTGTCAAGTCTCGCTACTGGCGCGAACACTTCTTCAAAATCAATCCCTTGTCGTTGCACATACCCTTTTGCCACAAGCCTCGCTTTGTGTTTGACAATGTTTCCATTGCTATCCTTTTTCAGCTTAAACACCCACTTCAATCCTATAGGTTTTTGACCAGGTGGCAATTCTATGAGAGCCCATGTGTTGTTCTTCTCAATGGCTTCAAACTCCCTATGCATAGCCTCTTCCCACGCTTTCTGTGTCACTGCTTCTTCATAAGTAGCTGGTTCCTCAGCGGAAAACATCAACTCATCAAGATCCATTTCCTTCTCAAGTGCATCTGCATAAATATCAGATAAATTTCGGAATCTCTTAGGACTTCCTTCTGTCGAGGATCCTTCTGAACTTCCACCTGGGCTTTCTTGTTGTTGAAATCTGGCAGACTCTACTGGAGCTACAGGTGACTCTAACTGAGAGTTTGTTGGTGTTGGCGCGTACTCTGGATCATTTGCTTCTCCCACATGTTCTGGAATGGTGAACTCAACAAGTTTTTCAGCACGGTTCTTGTCGTCACACCACGAATCCCACTTCTTCTCTTCAGCAAAAACAACGTCCCTGCTGATGTAAAGTTTACCATCATGAGGATTGAATAGACGGTGTGCTTTACATCCTTCTTCCACGCCGAGATACACCATACTCTTGCTCCGATCTTCGAGCTTCTTGACTCGCACGTTGGGTTCCTTCATATAACCCACACACCCGAACACCTTTAAGTGTTCAAGGTTTGGCTTCCGTCCAGTCCACACCTCGTAAGGGGTTGTATTTGTGAGTGCTTTGGTTGAGACTCGGTTTAGTAAATACACAGCATGCCGGACTGCCTCCCCCCAAAACTCTCCTGGCAGCTCCATTGTTTTCAGAAGACTCCTAGCCATAGTCACCACAGTTCGGTTTCGACGCTCCACTACGCCATTCTGCTGTGGCGTGTAGGGCGCCGTGAGATGCCTTTCGATTCCTTCAAGCTCAAAGAATCTGATAAATTCGTGTGACAGAAACTCTCCCCCACGGTCTGTTCTGAGTGTCTTTATCTTACACCCAACTTGGTTTTCAACTAATGCTTTGTACTTCTTGAAAGTATCGACAACATAACTCTTATGCTTGAGCATGTACACCCACATCATTCTACTATAATCATCGACAAGGAGGAAGAAATACCTGTTCCCAGCTCTAGTTGGTGGAGATATCGGGCCACATAAATCGGCATGAACTAGCTGCAAAGCATGATCAGCCCGGAATGATGTTTGATCAGGAAATGATGCTCTTGCCTGCTTGGCCACCAAGCATCCTTCACATAATTGGTTAGGATGTACTATCTCTGGCAGTCCTTTAACCAACCCCTTCGTATTCATTTCTTTAAGTGCATGAAAATTTACATGCCCGAGACGAGCATGCCAAAGCCATGACAGATCGGTTACACTTGCAGCTAAACAGACTGGCTCAGTTGTCTCGAGTAGCACCTTATATAGACGGTTTGGTGATCTTTTTACCTTCATGAGCAATTTCCCAGACCTATCATGTATCCATAGGTACATACCATGCAGAATGATCTTGTTTCCATCTTCAGAAAGTTGTCCAAGGCTGACAATGTTGCTGCATAAACTTGGGATAAAATATACCTCAGTTAGGACTCGGTGTTCCCCGTTCCGGCATTTTAATAAGATTGAGCCTCTGCCTTTGATAGCCACGGTTGATCCATCACCAAATTTCACATGCCCATGAATACTCTCATCTAATTCCTTGAACTTTGAGCGCTGACCTGTCATATGATTGCTAGCACCATTATCGAGATACCACACATCTGATTTGAAGTAACTTGATTCACCTCTCTGTAGCTTTGGGATAACTTTCTCTTCATTCAAGAGAATCATATCTTGTGTCTCCTTTGCGAATGCAGATAACAAGAGAGTTGGTTCATCATCTTGAACCTGGGTGAGGTTAGCCTCCTCATTTCGATGACGCCGGGGTTTACGACACTCCGATGCATAGTGTCCGAATAAGTCACAATTGAAGCATTTTATCTTGCTTTTGTCACGGCCGTTCCCACTACCACGACCTCGGCCCCGACCAAACGGCTCTCCACGGCCACGGCTACCTCCGCCGTTTCCGCCGCTCCTTCTTGTACCATAGGAAGATTCACCATCACCAATCTGCTCCTTCTGCCGTGACACCCATTCTGAGTGTGTGAGTAGGAGATTTTCTTCATTCTGCTCCTTCTGCCGTGACACCCATTCTGAGTGTGTCAGTAGGAGGTTCTCTTCATTTCTTTCACTGCTCCCATGTAGCCTCTCCTCGTGAACCCTTAGCCGACCAAGCACCTCCTCCATGGTCATGGTTTTGAGGTCTCCAAACTGCTCGATCGAGGACACAATCTGCAGGAACTTTGTTGGGACAACTCGAAGAATTTTCTTAACAACATAAGATTCTTCCATCGTATCACCCAAAAGCCGGATGCCGCTGATGATCTTTGCCAATTTTACAGCAAAGTCATCCACCGACTCGCTCTCCCTCATTCGAAGTGCTTCGAATTCAGCTCTCAAGGTCTGCACTTTTGCTTCCTTGACGCGTTCCACCCCCATGTGCATAGTCTCGAGGGCTTCCCAAGCATCCTTGGCAGAGTCCTTCTCAGCAAGGGTAAGAAGAACATCCTCAGGTATAGCCTGGTAGATGGCAGCAAGAGCCATCATGTCTTTACGCTCATCATCGGCTCCGTTATCAATGGCTTCCCATACACCTTGGGCTTTTAAGATTACCCGCATCTTCATTGACCATGCTGCATAATTGCTCCGTGTGAGCAGCGGGTATTGCAGCGTCATACTGCTCTCTTTTCCGCCCTTAATCCCTGATGTTTCTCCCTCATTAGTCATGCTGAATGATGGCTTGCTTCTCCCTGATGGCTCTGATACCAAATGTAGGTTTTATTACAGAAACTATTGAGGAGAATTTAGAGCAAAGGAACAATTGAACACAACAATCTGTGATTAAATGAAAGAGTAGAAACTAGCTACAGAGTACATAATTGGGTAATTCAAATGAAAATGCTACTGCACTCCTATTTATAAGAAAGACTAAGAACTACCAACTCCTAGAACTACTCCACGTGCCTAGCTTCTAGGAAATAGAATAACAGAAAACAAATTGTAATATGTGTATGGCATATTCCATACACACGTACCCACTTAGGACTATAATTCCGGTAGTGCAGGTGGAACAAGTCAACACGCTTAAACTAACAGATTCAATTCATCGTTCCAATTTTTTGATAATGACGTTCCTAATTATAATTTAATTTCAACATTTTATTTTTGTTCTTTAATTTAATCTCTTGTTTTTCTATTATTTTTTGTTTTCTATACTAATATGAAATATGAGAAATAGTATAAGAAAAGCTTTTAATCACCTTGGTGCTGCCAATAAACATGGTGACTAGAAGTACCCCACTTGTGAGAATGAGGATCATGAAAATCACTTCAAGTTCATCTGTCATGTTCTTCAAGTTACCAAAACTGCTGCTTCACGTTCAATTATATTATATAAATACAATAAAAAAAATGAGATGTTAAAGTGTTATACTACATATATAATTAGTAAAGATGTGTACATAAAGGGTTGCCTTTTAATTAATTAGTTATGTATTACCTGAGAGTCATGAGTCCCCAAAAGATGGGAAGGAGAATCTTTTCCAAAGGGTTCTCATTCGTAACGAGTTGAATGGTCCATTCATAATAAGTTCCATACGCAAAGTTGTTATCATCAGTGTCCAAACAGGTCATCCTTACGTGGCGGTTCTCCCCCCATAGCAAGCGGGCATTTCTAGAGGTTTGGCCGCTGCAGCTTACGGTGCTTGTTGTTCTATAGTAAAATGGGTCCTTGCAAGTTAGGAATATGGGTCTGCAATCCTTATTCGTTGTGCATTTCTCTTTCAAGCACTTGACAACATTTTGTATTCCTAGCAAAAACCAACATGCCCCTACTGCCTGCACCGTCAAGACAAGGCATGACCATTTTTACTTAGACTCTAAATTAAACTAGATTAAAGCAAATTGTCATATCATATTACAAGATATAAATTGTTGTAGTGTAAATATTAATTCTTTGCATTTACCAATTCCTTGAAAATCTTATCTAACACTCAAGCATTCCAGGCATGTATATATTAAAAGGGCAATAAAATCTTTAAGGTTCACGGATTTCATTAATGGATTTTAGGAATTACATTTTAGCTGCGTATTTGATAAAAACTTCATTAGTTTCAATTCTTACACTGTCACGCCCGGATCATCTTGGATGCGCTCACAACCATCGCACAATCCTACTAAGGCATCCACCGCCCACCTTACTTGAATCATGCATGGCATCATGAATATTATTCACACCCGGTACATCCATAAATAATCTTAATAAAAGTACTATAAGTACATATTTGGAAACAATGTACTTCATTAATCAAAATAGTAATAAGCCACACAAGACAATAAGAGCACACGTACTCCCAAATTAATTGGTGTCACTGAAAAGTTTGTTTTCCTCTCTTGTTGTCTCCCTTCATTGTCCTACTTGTTTATATTGTGACAACAAAGCTTACCTCCACATTGCATCTAATCTCATCTTCCACGAACGGATCAAACATATTGAAATTGATTTCCACTTCATCCGCAATTATATCCCAGTTGGAGCTGTTTCTACTTATCATCGATCTTCTAAGGAGTAACTCACTGATACTTTAACTAAGGCTCTAAGTTTTCATCAGTTTAATTATTATCCAAGCTAGGTATTTGGGATTCTTGTACCTCATCTTGAGGGAGTATTAGCAGTATGTACGGGCATGCAACACCTGGGGCAGTCCACATGCAACACACATGCTTTTGATTTTTGTGCAACATTTTATTCTCAAATCATCCAAAACTCTTCAAGTAGGCATCTAGGTATACCAGTTGTAGATGTTAAATTCAAATTATATGTACGTGCATGCAACCACTAGACATCAGTATAAATGCCCGAGCTCGGGTATGAAAAAGGTGGGGCTTCAAGAAATACAGAACATTGCTTGTAAAGGATAGCCATACATATCAAAGATGCCTTAGAAGATAAAGATAGTTTCAGCGATAGTTCATTCAACTATTCTATTCTTTGTTACTCCGTGTTATAATATAATACATCTTGGTTGCATTGGGTGGACAGTGGAGATGAACATTTGATAATGTGTTCTCTCAGGGTTGGGTGTTTGACGTGACAACTCGCTTGTAAAGCCGAGAGGTTTCTTATTAAAAGATAAGGTAGTAAGAGCTCCACCTAGAGAGCTTGGAGTTCGGGTGACTCAAAAGTAAACTAGGGGTGTTTATCTTGTAACTTGTTGTTAAAGTTTTTTTCGTTTAAGGTTTTCAAATTCACTAAGTGATCGAGACCTATGTTTTTTAATCTCCCTTGAACCATGGGATTTTTCTTCGTTAAAATTCTTGTGTCATTAATTTCTACTTTCCCTTTGCCCCACACTAGAACTTTGCAAAAAACGATTCGACCGATTCATACGCAGTGGCCAGATCTTTATTTCTTTCTTGTTAATAGTTGTTTTATATTACTATATTAGAATAGGACTTGAACACAAGTGTATATATTTTATGCGTGAGATAAGAAACCATACAATTAAAAAACAATTTGTTTTCAACTAGATGATGCGTAGTACTAAAATTAAGTAATACTACTTATACTAGCTAGTACTGCGTAATTAAATTAAATACACATTATATCAAGTGAGAACATGCATGTCACACAAGTTTAGACGAGAGCAACCTAAACTTAAAGCAACAAGTTTATTTAGACTTAGTTTAACTAAACTGATAGACAAGTTACGTTCATGCGTACTTGAGAGTGGAGCTGAGCAGAAAATTTGAGTAGATGATTGGTATAAAAATACTCCCTCCTATTCAACTTTGACTTACACGTAGAATAATATAGTAAAAATTATGTGATTGAAATTTGTGCACATGAAAGAAAAATAATAAAAGTTACAAATGTTTAGCTTAAAAAAATGACAAAACTTTTTGGAATATAATGGCTAAATATAAAAGTTTTAGGAACTATTAACACATATATATGTACTTACATGAGAGGCGATGAAATATGCCATCATGTTGAGAGCGATCCCACACCAAACGGTGTAGCTAGAGAGGTCGTGCATCTGCCATAAGAGGACAACGGAAAAATAGATCTTTGGAACATATTGGGTGAGGAAGACGATTAAGTGTAACGTCATCACATTTGTGATTAACCCCTTCTCTAGGTATGCTGGAATTGCTACCCATAACATTATCTGCATAAATAAATAAATACATGAATAAATAAATAGATAGAGAGATAGATAGACAATAAATAGATAGAGAGATAGATAGACTACAAACAAACAAACAAACAAACAAATATATAAATAAATAAACAAACAAACAAATAAATAATACACACAATATTATTTATTTGTACTATTTTCAGCTCCTTGTGTATGAATATAAGAGACACATAAAATTAGTTACGGAGTATTTTTCGCAGTAATGTCTGTGTACATTTAATTAATGCTTGGTATGTGTTTTTAGTCCAACTCTGCTAACGTTTATATAGCAGGAGCTCCTGTTTTTAATGTTGGAACGTATTATTTTGTTGATAACAAACAACTAGTGTTACTTTTGTTTTGTACTACCTCTGTCCTGAGTAGGTTCGGCATATTGACTTTTCTTGATCAATGATGGCAAACTTTGCACGATGATTTTAATTATTATACCGGAGTATTTGCATATAATTTATAAATTTTATACTTTAATGAAAATATTTTGAATAAAGAACATTTTGATATAATTTTCATATCCAAAATAATTTCGTGTTAAGAGATAGCATTGGTCAAAGTTAATTGGCATTGACCATGAAAATTCAATTTGGCGAACGTTTTTCGGGAAGAAGGGAGTAAGTGATTGCAGGAAATGAATTTTACTCCAATTCTGTTTTGACATGCATCTCCTCTCACATGGAATATTTCCTTGATAAAAAGGTTTTCCTTCAGACCATACTTAGCGATTAGCTAATTGCTCTCATAGCTTGTTTAGCCACATAAGCATTTGTAGCAGTATTGAAATATACTCCAATGATTAGCTATAATTTTTTCCTCTTCATTTATTATTTATAATACTATATTTAATAATTCTCCTTGCTAATGTTAGTAGATAATTTAGGCTAATTAACTTTCTCAAGCAAAAGGAAGAACAATGCTCCAATGGTAGGCTAGCAGCTTCAAAATTGCAAGCAAATTCCTAGAAGCAACCATTCGAGATGCTCTGAAACGAAAAAAATAATATTTTTTAAAAAAATAATAATTTTTAATACTCATAAGGAAACATCTTTCAAATCCTTTTCATACATATGTCTTGGAAACAAGAGTACCGGAAATATATAAGGAAATCTGACCACATTAAGGAGATCTCCTTAAATCCGACCACATTAAGGAGATCTCCACTCTAGAGTAGATCAAATCATACACACACACGCGCGTATGTGGTCATGAAAATAACCACACACACACACAAACACACGCGCACACACACACACACACGCACACACGCACACTCTCTCTCTCTCTAAATTATACTATAAATACACATATATATGTGTGTACATGTGAAGAATAATTCATGAATTCCTTGATCTCTTAATATATTAATATTTACATTTCAAAGTTTATGAAAAGTTAATTGTCAATATGTTTTTATATTTAGCATTTATATATTCATTTATTCATATTTAAATAGTTAACTATTCAAGTCTATATTATTTTTTCTTAATTTTTGAAACATTTTATTGTATTGTGACTGATTTATTATATATATTTTTATAATTATTTGGAGCCAAATTTTATGTAAAATTCAAGTTATAATGAATTCACAAAATCCGAAATTTAAACTAGCTATTAGGTTATTGCGGGGCGGACCCGCTCCGCATGGGATGGGTCATGGGCCAACATCTAATGACCCGTGCGGTTCACAAGGCGGGGCGGGTCTACCTATTTATGTAATGGGGCGGATCCGGGTCCTGCACTACTATACTCGGCCCACCCTAATCCATTGTCATGCCTACACGGAAACGCGAAAATCATGAGGAAACGGGAAACGGGAAACATCAACTTTTGCTTGTCTGGAGAGTTTTGAAAGAGTTTTCGTAGAGTTTCCTAAATGGATCCGTACTACATAGATTAACACTAGTGGGAGCCAAGAATGCCAAGTGGAATCAACTTTTTTTTAGAATAGTGGAAGATCAACTTGTGGGAAGGGCTAGCGACTTGTTCACAAGATAATTTTAACTATTTTTATAAAGAGGTAGGTCTGGTTCTCACGAAAAATAAAGGCTGGCGACTCCCTAGGGTTCTAGGGTTGGGTAGAGGGCCGTCGTAGGTGATGGCGTCTTCTTCCGAGTTTCGTACTCGGCGTTGGTGCTTCGGCTTTAGCTTTTGTAATCGACTATCCAGGGGTTTCTGGGTTTGACGTTTTCGACCGAAGGTCTAGGACCTCGCGTTGATTGTTCTGCTTCATTGTTTGTTGTTCGCGTAGGTTTTTCGGAGGCAAGAGGGATGGAGGATATCGCAGACAAGTACAAGGACATGACTATAGGGGATAGAGAGGAAGAGATTGTTTTCGACGAAGAGACTGCTCAGGACGATGAAGCTGCGTCTGACGAAGAAGCATTTCTAGTGGTGGGCACTGTGATTACAGACAGATTGGTGAAGTTATCGATCTTTAGAGATCTCATGGCTAAAATCTGGAGGCCTGTGAAAGGTATTTCTATAAAAGAGATCAACGATAAAAGGTACATGTTCACTTTCTACCATATTCTTGATATGAAATGTGTGATGGAAGGCGGTCCGTGGATATTTGAACAAAACCTGTTAATTCTTCGGGAGCTTAAGCCAGAGGATGTTCCCCTTCGCGTTCCTTTGAATGAAACTGGGTTCAGGTACACGATGTTCCATACGATTATATGAATTTGGGGACTACCAGAAGGGAAGGATTGAGAATTTTATTGGTAAATTTATTAATTTTGATAAGAGGCAATTAGATAAAAAGTGGAAACCTTACATGAGAATTAGAGTTTGTCTGGATGTGGGGAAGCCACTGAAGGTGGGCACGACTCTCAGGAAGGGACAGGAAGAAGGGCATTGAGTTGATTTTAAATACGAAAAACTGCCTAGCTTTTGCTTTGTTTGTGGGATTATTGGGCATGCTGACAAGTATTGCCATTTGGTTTATGAGAACAAAAATATGGAGGTTACTAAGGAATATGGAGTTGGTCTGCGTGTAGGAGGAGGGGGGAGTTCTCGGGCTTTGAGAGAAATAAATGGCTAGTCCCAGTAGGACAGGGAAGGAAAGGAGATGGGAACGAGGGTCCGAGCAGAAGGGATGGGGATTTGACTGAGGGCGATAAGGGCCGAGTGGAATCTGATAGTAAAGCTTCAGAGGAGGGAGCTTTTGGTGAAGCTAAAAGCAAGAGGACTTGGGAAGTGTCAAGTGGCAAGGGGGATGAAAGGAAGCAGATGGCCCTGGATGATCCAAAAAACGGGGAGGGGGCGGGTTTGGGCAGCTCAACCCGCCGCGATGTTTGAAGATTTTCTCTGCAAGAGGAGGACACCGGAGCTCGTTCGCTCTTCTTAGTTTTTATTTCAAGTTCCACGGTTTTACTGTTTTTTTGTCTATTTTTTACCAAGCACTTGTTTGTTTTTGTTATTACTATTTTGTTTTGTCAGACTCTTACATTAGGCGGGGGTGATGGGGTTTTTGCTTTGGCCACGCTAGGCTCATTTAGACCCATTATAGGATTAGCGAATCATATTGATCAGTCTAGGGTGATTCGTTCTCAGGCTAGTCCGAGGGTCGGTGGCTGGAAGTGTTCCTTTTATCTCTTTTTTATCTTTTTTTGTCTCTTGCTGAATGTTTCTTCTATCAATATAAGCCGCATTTGTCCAAAAAAGGGGGTTGTTCACTTTTTTATATTAAATCCTATCAGGATTAATATGCCTGTTTGGATTAAGATGTCGGTTTGGGTTAAGTGATATTTGTATGAAGATGTTCAATTTTTATCCTGAATAGACGCTCTGAATGAAGTAAAATAGCCAATTTAATTAAGTTGAGGTCTTCATTCGGCTCTGAGGTCATATCTCCTGAGTATCAACAAGGTGTGAAGTATTCCGAATATCAACAACCAATGTACTTCCTCCGTTCTTTTTTAGTTGCAACGGTCAACATTTCACACTTGCCAACGCACATCTTTGACCGTAATTATATCTTAATCCCTATTAGTAAAAAATATTTAAAAATTAGATTTTGAAAATTTGTAATGAGATGAATTGAGCAATATAATTTTTAAAAAATAATTTTCATAAAATAATAATATAAAATGTAGTCAAAGTAGAACATGTGAATAGTGTAAAATTCAACATGTTGCGATTAAAAAGAGACGGAGGATAGTATAATTTCTTCGGATATCTCCTCTTACATACGAAGTATTAGATTAAAGTAATTTCATAACATAACCATAAAATATATATTCCTCAAACTTAAAATGTAGTAAGTGCTATATATATGTCACATATAGACACAGCATGCAGTCCGTCACATGCATGAATGCCACGAGCACGGCAATCCACCGGCCTGGCCATGCGAGACTACCACATGGACCACATGGTTATAAAATTTCAACGAGTAAAGAGTCAGTTTGGTCTTCGAAGTTGCAAAAAAGGCGTCAAATAAGTCCTTATATAGAAGATTCTGTCCGGACGTGCCATTTGAGGTGGCTCCCGGTGGAATTTTGTGATAAATTTGTTTGAGCATCTTATTTATTAAGTCTAGTTTACTCATACCAAATTTCAGCTAAAAATTCAATCGGGAAGATATTCAAATGAATTCTTGAAGATAATAGCGCTTTTAACGGCACAGTTATCTTCAAAAATTCATTTGAATGTCTTCCCGATTGAATTTTTATCTAAAATTTGGTATGAGTAAACTAGACTTAATGAATAAGATGCTAAAAAAAATTCATCAAAAAATTCCACAGGGAGCCACCTCAAATGGCACGTCCGGACAAAATCTTCTATATAAGGACTTATTTGACCTCTTTTTTGCAACTTTGAGGACCAAACTGACCCTTAAAATTTCAACTCATAAAAATAATGGTAGATTGTATGGTACCCAAAAGGTACCATATCTTTGTCCACATAGACCAATGAGAATGTAGCTGTTGAATTATTTAAATCTAAATTAAAAATGATAAAGTGATGTGGTCCAATCAAATGAATCATGAATGGTAGGTATGATACCCCATTTTTTAGAAGGGTACCAGAGTTGTCACAAAAAATAATATACGAGTGATGTGTGTGTAATTGTCTAAGAGAAAATTGTCCAATATATGACCAAAACTCAAGCTTTTTTCCAAAATAGTACCATATGTATGTTTTTCCCTAAATATGACTAACCTTACTTTTTTTACCCCTAGTTCTATTTAATAAATAAATTGATCGAAATAATTGTCCCCCTAATTTCCTTTCACAACCAAGGCAGTCCCTCAGTGGCGGGGGAGTCCGTGGTGGCGGCCACGTCAGCGTTCGGCGGGAAAACGAAGAGCTCAGAAATCGCCAAGATCATGCAAAGTACGAGGCCTGACCTCGTGCACACCAAGCCTGATTCCGACCCTGAGGTCGGGAAATCCCAAGCTCAGGAATTATTCAGTAGGCCTGGGACCGGTTCGGTTCCTAGGTGAAATATGTGGAACCGTTTGAAAATATGAAATTTTACTAACGGTTCGGTTCTTATAGATTATTTTGTAGAACCGATAAGGAACCGAACCGTTCTTAACGGTTCGGTTCTTGTCATTTAACGGTTCCTAGTATTTAAAAAAAATCTTACAAATCACGGTTAAATTTGTGTCAAAAATACATTCAACGCTTGAAATTAAAATACAAATATGTTGAATTTCATTTCAAACCTCAAAAGTTGAGTTTAAAAGATAAATACATAACAAACTGCAAATTTTAGAAAACAAAAACAAAACAAGATATTCGGTAAAGAAGCACAATAAAACCAGTTAAATGAAAAAGAATTTCAAATAGTTAAATAACTGAACTAAAATAGTGAATGTAATATGAAAATAAATAAGTAAATATACATTACAATACATGTACTAATAAGAAATATATATAATTTTAATTATTATATATAACGGTTCTTTAACGGTTCCACGTACATATTTTTTACAGGAACCGAGAACCGAACCGTTAATAAAAAGTAGGAACCGAACCATTAACAAATAACTAATAAATTTTGGAACCGAACCGAACCGGGTCATAACGGTTCGGTCCGGTTCGGTTCTCCGGTTCTTGGTTCCAAAGTCCCAGCCCTATTATTCAGAGAAAGCCAATTATGAGGCCCGCCTCGTGCGCACCGATCCTGACCCCGACCCCGAGTACTAATTCTACTCTTAATATAATTAATTGTACTCTACTTCTGCATAATCAGAGCAATCAGTGGTGGCTAAGGTCGCGCATGAATTGAATCGAGTCGAATATCCCTCTATTCGATTTGAATTTGATAACTTTTTTAAATCGAATCAGTATTTGTTTAGTATTTGAACTTAAAAGAGTATTTGCATTTGATTTGATCAACTCTTTCAATATATTTGATTATACATTCGAATATGCATAATTGATCGAATATATCATCATTTATTTTTTTCAAATAATATTACTTCCTCCGTTCTTTTTTTAGTTCATAGTCAACCTTGGCACATTTGCCAACGCACACATTTGACCGTAAATATATCTTAATCTCTATTAATAAAAAATATTCAAAATCAGATTTAAAATTTTTGTAATGAGATGAATTGAAGAATAATTTATAAAAAAAATAACTTCCATAAAATAAAAGTGTAAAATATAGTCAAAGTAGATCATGTGAATAGTACAAAAAGTCAACATGTTGCAATTAAAAAAACGGAGGATAGTATATATTATGCATAGTTTATAATCTTTATATAGAGCCCGTTTGGAAAGATTCAAATTGGCTAAATAGACTGATTCTTATGAAGTTCTAACTGTTCTGAAGAATTATGAAGAAATTATACTTAAAATATACTTTATTAATAGAAATAAAGAAAACATTATACGAGAAAATAGATAAAATGATCATCTACTACCATGACGTTAGAATATATTGAAAGCATAATGTAAGGGGTGAATCAAACAAAACTGTTTTTAACTTAAAACATGTGAAATTAAATATTTGCTTTGGTAGTGTAACTGTGAATTTTTTTCTTTAGCACTTGTAACATTTTTAATTTGATTCCCACACTGTATATACACGGAGCGTCTTAATAAATAAAAATACAGAGTAAAATCTAAGAAGTGAGCGACTGACCTGCGGCAAAGGAAGGATGAGGAAAAGCTGCAGGAAACTCCGTTTCAGATACGGAGGAGCAGTGACAGGACGGCCGAAAGCGGCGGTATCGCTGCGGCGTTTCCTTCTTCTGATCGACGCCAACCACAAGTCGCAAAGATGCACGGCGTCGATGATGCAGCGAAGAACCGTCACGGCTGCGGCGAACCACCCGTCGACGAAGAGGCACATGCAGCTGTCGCTGATGGAGAAAGCGTAGAAGAACAGAGGGTCCACGATTAGGCCCGCGGCGCACAATAGCATCATCAGCGCCGCCCCATTCCAGCTGCGGCATTCTCCTGAGCTCTTCCCGCCGCCGCCGCCGCCACAAAATGGGCTCAGCCGCACCACCTTATCAGGGAACCTGTTGCTTTCCGCTTTCACTCCCCCACCGAATTCCTCTTCTTCTCCTTCGTCGGTGGCGCAGTAGTAGTCATCATTATAATCATCATCATCATAATCATAATTAGGTGAAATTTCGAGCTCTTCGGTGTTTGACATTTGAAATTTGGGGTTTAATTTGGTGTGTCCGCACCGCCGCACCAGATTATATAAATACTAGAGATGAAGAAAAACTAAAAATCCAAATTGATCAACAAACCAACAGAAACCAACCCACTTAAAACCAAACCAACCATATCGAACCAATAGAAACCAAACCAATCTATCAATTATTCGGTTCAATTTTTTTTAAAAAAAAATCAAATAACTAATTTATTATTAAGCGATAGCAAAAATACAAGAGAAGAATAGCCTGAGGCTACAATGGGATGAGACATAGAACGGAACAGATTCAATGATTCCTTCTAGATCGCTAACCCCGCAATAATGTAGTCTAGTCTAACAGTCTTGATGATCTTCTTGTTACTGCAAAGAGAAATTAAAAAATTACAACTAAAAGATTCGACTTCACCAGCCACCGGAAAGGGAGAATTGGTTTGACGAGCAACCAACAAAGGGAAATCAGTCGAGTAGAAATTTCTTGAAGCATCGGTTTGACCAGCCACCGAAAAGGAGATCCGCTTGATCATCATCTTCTTCCCACAATGAGGCGGTGGTTCAGGTGGTGGACGAGTATTTGAAACATCAGAACAACAAGGTTGAAAAAGCTTTACCAGATCGATTACACCGATTAGAAACACACAGCCTCTAGACATTGCTGGGAGAATAACATACCACACGCTCACATGAAGCGGACAAAATTCTCAGCCAATGAAGAAGCCGGACCAAATTCCTTGAAAATAGAAATTGAAAAGGAGCGAAAGCATAGAAAAACCATTGATTCGATATTTCATTGCATAGAGAATGTCTTCATCTTCCAAAATCGGATCTTGAAGAGGGTTGGGGATGGCCGCCTAGGGTTTCCCCTAGGGCCGGCTCTCTATCACGCTTGACTATGCTTCGGTCTTAACCTTTTTTTTCGGTTCACGATTTATACCTTTTAATTAAAAAATCGGCCAATACAAAATGGGCCAACAACACGGCCAAAATGGCAAAAATCTATCGAAATGGACTCAAGTTCTGTGGTCCGATTCTCGATTTCATGTATTCTAAAAGTCGCTAAGATAGTAAGATCAACCGACAAAAAATTGAAGTCGACCAAAACCGATTGAAATCGAACCGATAAAATTGAAACTGTCAAAACAGAAATGACAAACACCCCTAATAAATCCGTATTTTTATATCCACTTGCCTACATCTAGCTACTTCAGCAACTTGTAGCAGAAGACTTCAATTCCCAAAATCAAGTATAACAACTTATAAAATAAAAATTGCTCTATACAACCAAAACATACATAAAGTGAAAAAATAGGATTAGATATGTTTTATTTCTCAAATAAAACTTATTTAATTCTATTAAAAGATAAAAGATGATTAAAACTTCCTAAAATACGAGTGAATTTAATGAGTCACATTTTAGGAATAAAAACAATGGTAGTCTTATCTATATACTATCCTTGTTTTAGTCTTGTTAAGAGTATTTTTATCATGATAAAACTAATGTCATATTTGGACAAGAAATCATAGCTGTGATCATTCCATCGTGAAGTAGCCAAATATTGGAAGATTTATGCAAGTGATTACATATTTTTGATATTGTGATTCCTTGGAATTATACATGTTGTTGACGTTTTGACACCATGCACTTTAATTTCTTTTAAAAGTGACATTGAAGGATTGAAAACTCTTATCTTTAACGAAAACTTATACAAAATATATATTCATTATTTTGATCTCCAATTGCAATTAGTTGGTGTGCTTATTAAACATAAAAAAGTTTTTATGAGTAACTTCTTTGAATATTTGACCATAATTACTAACACGGTGAGATCTTTTAATAATAGAATAGACGAGTTCTGAAAAAAAAAAACTAATGAAACCATGGTGAGATGTTGCATTATTTTTCTTAGTACTACTACTTGTTCTCTTTTCCATTTAAAAACATAGTAAGAAAATCAATATCATCATGAAATTGTAAGATATTGATAGGATCAGTCACAAGATGAAGAACAGCTTTAGTAAATCAAATACAAAATTGTTCACTTGTTTAGTGTGTCTTGATCCTAAAGAAATTAAAGGTTCACTGGCTTCTTAGAGTGAAAGCTATTGAGCATTATAAAGTTATATTGTTGTGATTTTCCATCTGTTAATCGAATAGAACTTAAAGAACAACTTTGAGGTGTGGACTGTGGATATATAAAATGAGAACAAATGAAGTATTTTATTCTATGCAAACTATTGGTGAAGCTTATAAAGAGATGTTGAGGCATAGAACGTTACGGGTTACAACAACTACCTTTAAAATGTACTTCTCTATGATAAATATTATCAAGACATAGGGGAGAGCAAATACCCCAAACAGGTATGGTGCCGAACTGGACCAGTATGCTTTCAAAATAGAAAGCAGGGTTTCAAGTGGACCTTTAATAAAAGGTGACAACTCCGGTACCCATTTAAGAAATGGGGTACCGTACCTACCCTGCATTTGATTGGTCCAAATCATTATATGTTTTTTAATTTAGATTTAAATAATTCAACTGCATCATTCTTATTGGTCAATTTGGACAAAGGTACGGTACATTTGGGGTACCATAGAATTAACCTTAATAAAATTGTGTACCTTGGCCCGAACTGAACCGGGTACAAATCATCACTAAATTATCGGCACTCACAGAAGGAGAACTGGAATAAGATCAGGCCAAAGTAAAGCTCCACTTGTTCAACTATATACTTCATATAATACATTTACGCTATGGTCTAATATTAGTATACTTGTTGGGATCGTTTTTTGCTTAGCTAGTTTGATGTTATAGAACTTAGCTTGATCGCCTACATTTTTACTTGGCTAGTCCTTAATTTATTGTGTTTTAATTAAACTCTTTGACTTGGCTGTCAAATATACTAATATAGAGTTGGTAAATGCAAAATTTGAAATCTTAACTACCAATATGAAGATGAAGAATTATTTTAGACTGCAAGAACAATACTTCGCAAAGATTATTGAATCAAAGATTAATTTATCTATGTTTCATATAATTTCTTATGAATATTATTTATGCACGTGAAGTCGCAATGCTCTATAAAAAGTAAGCAAAATATTTTACTCCCCAATGTAAAATATTTTACATGATACAGTGCAAAATGTTTTTAAAAAGTGTCATTCAGTTTATATTAAATAGTAAAGTCAAACGATGTAAACTTGTTACATCCTTACACTTCGCATGTCAAATAATTATTTTACATTCTATCAAACGAACTCTAAGTCAAAATAATGAAAGCCAGAATAATAAATAAACTTACCAACCGATAAAAACAATAGAACACAAGGACAAGAAGATGAGCAAAGGCAAAGAGGACTGTGGTAGTGCGGATTGATGCATGTTTGGTTAATAGAAACCTACAAGGTTACAATATACGAAGTAATAATCTAATATCTTTTAGGGTTTAGAAAAGGTGAAATCGAGAATTAAACCACACTACTTGAGCCGGATTTAGTTTGATTTTGGTTCGGTTAACTAGGGTTGGTTTTTGTCAGTTTCAATTGGTTTTAACACGTTTTTCTCATTTTTGTCAGTCTGGTTCGGTTCGGTCGGGTTTTTAACCCAAAAGTGAAACCATAAACCGAACCGCAAATGATTAATTAGTTTGTCGGTCGGATTTGGTTTTTTGATTTTTTTTGTTCACCACTACTTGTAACATACTTCGGACTTGAACCCGGTGTGGTTTTACACTTTCCTGCAATCACTGCAATCCACATATAATTTCAAATGTGGATCTACTTTTGACTTGAACCCGGTGTGATTTGACACTTTCCGGGTGAGTTTACTTTTCATCACTTAATTTAAATGACGCCATTTACGGTAAATTTAAATAAAATTGGTTCAAATAAAAAATCATCTTTCCAAGTAAAACACAAACGAATAAAGAGTATCAATCTAAAGATTTAAAGGTTAAAAAAGGCAATGACATTTTAGTAAATAATTAAAAAAAGAAAAGAATCATGTGCATTAATGAACATGAAGATGCAATGTAGTAGGGGAGTAAAGTCATGCAATTTTGTCATTGATTAACATCATTGCTGATGTCAAGGTTCATTACCAATGAGGTAAAGGCACATGTGTGCCTTGTGCACATTTTGCAAGGGAAGCACTCATTTTGCAAGTGGGGCTCTAAGGGGAGTCCAATTTTGTTCTACCCCTCTAAGGAGGGTGAACATCTCCATACAATCCATGTCATTTGACACTCTAATTGTCTTTTTTCTTAAAATTATTATAACTTTTTTATATATAATCTGATTTTCACAAAAAATATATAACTTTTTTATATATAATCTATATTTCACTAAATAATAAATTAATTAATTTCATATCAATCTTCCCATTCCATATTGCATATAAAAAAAATTGAAAAAAAAATCATTTTTTTCTTAAATCTATTTTTAGTTGGATTTTTTTTAATTTTACATATTCAGTATTGGTATCATATGAAAGATCATAAAAAATTAAAAAATATTGATATAATTTTTTAAAAAATTGAATCAAAAATGAAAAACAATTGTTCTCCTCTAAGGGAGTGTTTGCAAAAACAAAACAAAAATAAAAACGTGATTCTCCGCTTTTGATTTAGAAAAACTGAAATAGATCTTTTCACATATTTTCTGCTTAGATTAATCACTTGAAAATTAAAAAATGGAAGTAGGTGGAGGAGTTTTAAACTGTTTTTCACTTTTCAAATTATACAAAAATCACTTTTACAAAACAGTACTACGTATGAACTTTTACTTTCTTTAAAGCATTTTTTTCGAAAAACGCTAATAACTTTTAGAGTATTAAACAATTTCTTTAAATCGCGTTTTTTTTAAAGTGAAAGCAACACCCTGGGCATGGGGAATGTAAGATTCGGAGTAAATGAGTAATGTGATAGTTGAACAAAAAACTCCAAGACAAAGTAGTTAAAGGGGGCTCAGATATTCATACATGACAATATATATGCTCTTACCAACATCGTATTCACATAAGAGTGAAATGATGATTCCCTTATAATGTTAAAGGTATGCCAAGGCCACTGCCCTGAAGCAAACAAAATGGGACAATGGTTATGGTAACAAATGCAAAAGAAACTTAGGAATCGTGTCTTTTGCGTTTATATTCACTCTTTTGGATTGCAGGAAACAATCACCAAATCATCTCAGGAAAACCTTCCGACCAATAATCGGGAGATTCTTCACTTCCCTTCTACTTTCTAGTGCTACCTGCAACATGAAGTATAGCAGATTTTAATGTTGAAGTCACCCTATGAACAGAAATAGCAAACATAATTGAATAAAATAGCCAAGGCATAACCAAAGGCAGGCTGCTGAGCCTAAAGCACGTGTGGCTATATAATGAATGTAACAAGTCAATACTTGTCAACACAACTCTGGGTTCTTTTCATACTACAAATACTTCAGCCCTAGGATCATTAAATCTACCAAAGTGTTTGTAGTCTATTAGTATAGTCCGTTTGGAAATTAGTAAATGCAAGTGAAAGCAAATATAGAAGAAAGAAAATAAAGGCAAAATTTGGAAGAAAAGGAAATGTGGGGGAAATTACAAAATTTGTTGAAACTCGATTTTTTTGCCTTAACTTACCTTCTATAGTTTGTTAAAAGGCTATGCATTATAAACGTATGTAAAAAGAATTAAAAAAATTACCCCTAAATCGTTATCTGTTTCATTTGTAAAGCCAAACACAAGGGAATTTTTTCTAAGCAATATTTTTCCTATTCTTGGCATTTCCCTTGATCCAAACGTACTCATAATAATTGAACACAAAGAAAATTTTACCTTTGAGCCTGTCAGTGTTGTTCTAGCAATAGCTCCTGGGACCCTTTCCTTTGAAACTTTGGGAGCCTGCCCTCTAACTGCTGTCAGTGTTGATCTAGCATTAGTTCCAATGACTCTTTCCTTTAAAACTTTGGGAGCCTGAACTCTAATTATAGCCCCTGTCCTCTCTCTGCTGCTTTTATTCTGACTCATAGACATTGCCCATGGTGCATTCTCCTTACCTCTGGCCACAGTTCTTTTGAATGTGCTTCCTTTGCTCTCATTAGCCTTTGAAACCACATTTGGAACCACAACTATGCTCCCTCTTTTGGGAAGAAGAGCTTTTCGTTGTGTTGCACGAGCATGATAATGAACCTGCAAGATCAAATAGAAATTTAGAAAACCAATCATTATTTCCATGTGATAATTGATATAGGACTTGATATAAGACACCAGAAACGCCCTTTCATAAATATAAGCACTATATTCGATGAAGACAATCAAGCAACAATTTTTTTAGGCAGGTCACTCATAATCTGTCTCAGGTTATTAGGGGTATGTTTGGATCCTGTAAATGCTAGGGAAATTAAAACGAAGACTCTAAGGAAAGTTGTTCTCCTATGTTTGGTTTAAATAAATGCTAGGGAGAACGAAATATGATTCTTTTTAAGAAAAATGAAAAACATACACACGTGTGCGCGTGCACACATATGCACATTACTTTGTGTTTACTCTGTATATAATAGATATAGTAAGCAAACAAAATAAAACTGACATATATCTGAAGAGTTTTATGAATTCTGAGACTAATTTTTACTTTCCCCAAAAATTTCTTTTCTTCCAACTTTCCTCTTCATTTTCCTCATTTTTCTTTTCCTATTCTTTCCCGAGATGTTTGTAAAATATAAGTCATTGCATTAAACATAGTTAAAGCTCTATGCATTCAGTGATGTTTCGTAGTAATTGGGAAATGAACAATTGTCTTCAACTTCTAAATTTTGTTACTGATTACATGTTTGCTTTGGAGCCAAAGCAAAAGATTCGATGAAGACAAAATCAAGCAATGGAGCCAAAGATTCACTATTTTTTGGCTTGAGAATATGATGGAATAAAGCAAAATATCTCACTAAACTGTATGCGCTTTTTTGTTATGAGCACAGGGGTCATCCGGAAATTTTGGACGCGATTTTCTTTAGGGGTCATCCGGAAACAGTCTCTCCGTGTTTTAGTAGAAGGGTAAGACTGCGTAAATCCGACATTCCGACCCCCCCTTACCCTACCGTAGGTGGGAGCCTTTGCGGCACTGGGGTAATGATAAGGATGTCACATGTTTACTTTGAAGAAAACATACCTTTGACACTCTAAAGACATGTCTACTCTCTGGGGTTATGTCTTTAGTTTGGCTTATGTTTCCATCCTCCATTTGAGGGTATGACGATCCTACGCTTGATTTGCTTGAGGAAGACTTCTGAGCTGAGTCGGTGTGACTATTACCCATTACTCTCACTGCCGGTCGTGTGGCACAACGTTTCATCCTCAGAGCTAACAAGATATCACTAGTGCTGCTAGAATTACTGTTTAAGCTCACGATAGGATGTTTATTACCCATGGTTAACTTTTGATTTCCTTGCACCCATTCCCTGTTTCTGTAATCTTTACCTCTTGATCTTGACACTGATGGTGGGAGCTTTGGGGAAGATTGTTGCTGCATACCTGTACGTACCTCTCCGATGCATGAAAATGCAGCTATCATTTCACGGGCAGAAGATTGATGGAACCTGGAATTTTAGTCAATTTAGGGATCTGAAATGAAACAGCAAGTCTGAAGGAAAAGATAAGATGCTTACACATGGCTGGTGTTGAACCAATCATCACCCCTGCAAACACAAGCATGACATCAGATGACCTGGTTTTGATTATTGGCTTTGAAACCTTGGAGAAATTTATCTATAGCTAAGAACTGAACGGTTACTTACACATCTGTATACGCTGACTTGGACTCTACAGCAAGATCCACCCACATGGGAGCCTCAATCTCATCCTGCACAAAATATTAGACTTAACAATCAATAAATCTATATTAGGGAATATTAAATCGAATAATCAGTAGAAAAAATCGGCTAAATAATAAATGAACTGGAAATGAGAATTTCAATCCAATACGGAGTAATCTAAATGCGAAAGAAAACTAGCAACCCTTATTTCATAATCCATATAAGCATTACGAAATTGAAATGAAATTTCAAAATAATTATAATAACAATATGCTCATACACCGCCACAGAAGACAAAAGCAATCCAACAAAAATCGAAATGATATACTACGTAATACTTACCAGAAAATCCCAGTGGTTGACTGGTTCAGATCCTTTCTTTACGGATAATGCGATCCTACTTTTGGATTTCACCCCATTACTGTTGATATTATGAAGACGGGAATTCGACCTTGAAACAATGAAGTTTTTAGGCTTTACATTCGCCATAACTGGATAGTAGAGCTTTCTAGTTTCTCAACGTTAATCTCCAATCATAGGAACGAAAGCCCCAAGTTTGCAAGCCTTTGGACGGAATAGTATGGGTTTATGCGAAAACAAATTTAAGTTCAAATATTATGATTTATAAAGCTAAAATAGGGTAATAAATTTTCAAATTGCCCGTTCAAATTCAAACAACAGAATGTTACCGAAGGACTAGAGAGATGTGCAACATTTACCGGAGGCTCTATCTCTGAAATGTTTGGAATTCCTTTTTCTTCTCTTCAATATGAAATACAATTTCAAACTCATTCGAAAAGAAGGAATAATGATAAAAATAAGGATTTTCCAATTGAGAGCAATGATAAAAAAAATGGAAATAGATGAACAACATTAATTTCACATTTGTCGCATGGCTTTTTTTCATCTTTGCACCCATATTCTTTCATTGGTCCGCCTTTAATGATCTGTTAGTTTTATGTGTTTTCCTTTGAAATGATTACACCAATAATTCCACCATCTACAATCTTCTCAAAAAAATCTCATTTTCATTTATTATTATTTTTCTTCTTGGTAGTTTTCATTCTGTATTTTATCTCTACACACTTTTTAATTCTATTTCAACTTTTTGTTTGTATTTTTCATATTTATGTATTCAATTTCCGGCTCTATTACGAGATTTTTTTTTATAAATTTCCTTTTCGTATAGACAGTGGGAGGAGCCAGGATTTAGTCGTGAGAGGGCCAAGAAGAAACACAAACAATAAAGAGAAAATTCACTCAATATGATTAAAACAAAAATAAAGTTCATGAATAGTATCATCCTATTTTAATCTCAAAATATGACTTACTCACTGCTATTTTGGAAAATTTTAATCAAATTATTTTTAATAGAACTAAGTAAGATCTATTTGAAGAGTAAACTATATTTTTTCTCATGTTTAATCATTGATGTAAGTTTTCTCGCACTTAAAATAGATAGTAGTAAAAAGTAAAAGTACGAGTATCGTCTCCACAGGGACGGAAAAAGAGAATTAGAAATTAATTAAATTCAACGAATAAAAATAAATAAAATAAATGCAATTGTGCGAGATTGGTTGGTT